CTCAATCTTCTAATAATAGATTTTAGATTTTGTTTTGCGTCAAACGCGGAATCATAATATTTGAAAATAAAAAATCATAACTTTTTTAATAAATGGAAAAAATGAAAAACAAAATGATCAAATGGTATATCTCCCATYTAAATAAATATATTTTATCTTATAAATTTTAATCTACATGACACTTAGATTGAATGTAAATATTTTTAATATAAATCAAATATGTTTGAGATTATGGATTATCTCAAACTTATGTGAGCTCACCAAACCCAAAAAATATCGCGTTAGTACGTAAACCTTCTTAAATAAAACATCAAAAAAATAATAAAAAATGAAAATGATGATTTCTGAAATATAACTATTAATGTTTGATTTGTAAAGCTGTACGTTTATAACAAAAAGGCAATTTTAATTAGAGTAATATGAATACAATTAAACAATATAAAAAAATTGTATGATCAATTACATATGGTATCCAAATGGACATTAATACAATTTTCATAACGTAATTAACATCGATAAATGATTCATCGTTAAAATATTATGTTATATAACGTTTAAATATTAAAATATTATATCTTAGTTAGATTTAAATTAGTAACATATGTATTTGTGAATTCATGTTAAACAATTATATAAATACGTAGAGATTTTCAAGATGACATATAAAATTAATTAAAATATTTTGATTAGTTAATATAATTGATGTGTCCCTTAAAATTATCATTGAGTGACGCATATGATTTTTCACTTAGTGTATATTCAGTTAATATATAGAGGATTGTTTCAAGTCTTTTCCATAAATGATTTCTGAAATTCGGATTGGAATAACCCTTAACATAAGACAAGTACAAAGAAGCTTTATTATAATCTAAATCATTAATAATAGTGTTAACCTCTTAACACAAAATAAGAAGTTTTTGGTCATTTTACATTAAATGCATCTAGATAAAAGTACAAAAACACCAAACGAACATATTTGTTTTCAGATATAATTTATGGACGCATAAAGCAAAAATACAAACAAATATCATATGGATGTTTCATCTAGGTACTGCGTTCAGATAATGCATCTAGATTTTGCGTCCAAACACGCAAACGAATAACACTTAAACAG